TATAAAGTAGTGTAAGTCTCCACTGCTTTCTTTCATTTAAAGGAAATTAAATGTGCCTAAGGTTGTCTCACCATTCTTCAAGGATGCAGAGAGGGGTTGACAATTATTACAGGCAACTCAGTGGACAAATGTTCACTGTGAAATGTTCAAGATGGAATAATGCAGAACCAGTGGAGAGATCATTTAACAGATCTTTCCTACTTCTAATATTTACCATATGATTAATGTTGAATTTACTGCAAGAATCTAAGGACACAAAGGAGAATGCTGACATGCTGTTTAGTTCCTTGACACAAGGGGTTCAGGATAAAGTAAAAAAAAAAAATCCATCAATCTTATTCTTCTTTCCTTTGAAACACTAAAAAGGAATGGAATACCATTTCATGTCTGTTTTTATTTTCTCCAGTCTTTATAACCTCGATCTGCTTCTCTGTTGCCAGGAAATCATTTCTGTAAGGCCATCTGTAATCTCTTCATGTAAGTCTTCAAACAACAACAATACATCTTTAATATTCAAATAGAAAACTGCTATGAAATGTCCTTCAGGTTCTAAGTTTTGACTTGAAACTTGTGGTTTTGAAAGAAATGAAACATGATTGGAATTGTGAATTTCCTCTCTCCGATTTCATTTTATATTCAGCTGTAAACTTTTGCATGAACTGTTTTCCTAGCTGCAACTAATGGTCCATTTAGCCCAGCTCTGAGCCAGTAGCTAGTCAGAGAGCTGGGCGGAGGGGAGGGGGACAAGGGCAAGATACAGTGATTTATTACTTTTTTATTCCAGGATCTGATAATCTGTCATTAAAGGAATCATAGGATTCATCCAGCAAAATGCACTATGTGACTTTGATACTCCTTGCTGTCTACCACTGATCCCTGCACCCTACAAAAAACTCTCCTGAGATGTCATGGGCAACTGCAGTGGGGGAGGGGGGAGAATCACCCAAAATGGTCCTCCTACTTCCTACAGTAACATGCATGCCACATCCCAAGTCTTTCTTGTGTGGTCTCAAAAGATGCTTTTCAGAGGCACTGAGAGACTGCAGCACTGAGGAAGGAGCAGAAAGTCCACCACAATAAAGTAGCAATGACCACTTACTTTAATAGTCACTAACTTGGATGGCTTTAAACTAGGGATGAAAACCTTAGGCCTGGAGTCATATCAGCTTTAACACTTCCCCCCACACCACATACGCACACACTACTAGAATTTAGCCCTTACATACAGTTTTTGCAATGGCATTCAGCCCTTGCATTGAAAAGTGTTCAACACCCCTACTTTAATTAAAAGGAAATTTGACCATTTCATGGAGGGTAAGGCTATTAGTGGCTACCATTCAGTACTGGAGAAAGTATGCCTCAGTATAGCAGTTGCTGATATATAGAAGAATGATATGCATTTACATCCTGTTGTGCATTTTCTACAGGCATCTGCCTTGAACACATGAGACAGTACTACATGAAAAGAATGTGAGACTAGATAAACCTCTGGTCTGATCCGCACAGCTTTTCTTATGTTAATCACCACTACCACCCTTAATCAAAAAATCTGGAGTTGTATGCTTTATTTTTAGAGTTCCCTATTTTCTCCACTTCCTCTCCCATGAATGTGCTTGGCCTGTTTTCTGTGCGTCGCTGCTGCACTGCTGAAGGGGCAAAGTGATGGGGGGGGGCAGGGGGAACCCCTGTATGATAGAACTATGGAAGCCAGCTGTCTGGAACACTGACTTCACCTGGGCAGTTCTCCAAGAAAGTGGAGCATAGAAACTCAACTAGCAGTTTCCCAACCATGCGTGTGGGATTAATTTGGCACTTTTTGGAGACTTGCAGTTGGGCCAATTCACATGAGCCAAAGGTGTGAGAAATACCTCAGTGCATGGTTTATCTATCTAATCATCTGATGGAAAAAACAGAGGATTGCTTGAATTTGTTGCTAACTGAAATGTGTGCTAATTAGATTACCTATATGTCCAGAACAATTTCCAGCCGCGGGAATGAGCAGTAACAAGTCCATTACCACCTCAATATTTGTGCACCATATAAAGCTTCTGTAGATGTACACAGCTGGAGTCTATTCTTTACATGCATTTTGAAGGGTAGTTTAGAATGTCTGCTTTTCATATTAGTCTGCTATTGAGACTGAATGTGTACTGCTCTCCATGTATACAGATTTAGAATCCTCTTTTATGATGGAAGAAAAAGGATTCTCCAAGAATGCTAGCCCTTTTGAGCCATACAATAATTTTTTCCTGACCAACAGTTACCAGTTCAACACTTCATTTTATGTACAATGACTTGAGAGCAAATTCAGTTTACTCAGTCTGAGTAAGCATCTACAAGAATGGCCCATAAATGTGAAATGTAGTCCATCTATTCACTCTCCCCCAAAAACATTCTATAAGTGATTCTTGAAGTGCAACTTTCTTGGGTGTTTATTACCTCCTTTTGCCCAAATACATACTTCTCACAATTACCCCCAAATTAGCAGTCCACTGATCTACCCCAAAATGATTTCACAGCAACTAGAAATTTGCTACTAGACCTTCATGGAGCATTTGCACAATGGGTCCTTCAACAGTTCCTGGAAACAAAAACAAGTAAATTCTCAGAGTCAACAGAATAGGTCTTTTGTCTTTGGAGCTTGTGAAGTTGGTCCACATCTATTTGATTTTTCACCAAGAGGCAGCTAAACTTCTATGGGCTAAAGGCTAAACGCTGCTTAGACTTTTGCAGCAGTTGAACTACAAAACTTGATTAATACTCTACATTACACAAATGCAAGTATGCAGTTTGATCCCTGCTGGCTGAAAAATAAAACATACATCACAAGTCATTGCTCTGACCTCGGGAACTCTTTTAGGAGACTCTTTGAGGACCGGCCCACAGAATTAGAACAGTATTCAGTGGCTTTCCAGTGCCTTTGCCACACAGATTATGTTGTTTGCAAACTGACAAATGCCAAGGTGTAAAATCCTTTTGTTGATGGAAAACACCTCCTTTGGGTGACCAGATGCCACCAGCTATTATTGTTGTTTCCCTACAAGGGCTTTGCAAGGTATGAGCATATGCTGCACAGGATTAACCCTGCCGGCACACAGGCACCCACCACATGAGGCACTGCCAATTAAATTGTCAAATGTCAGGAGAATGCCATAGGTCAGACTGATGGTAAAGCTTTCATTTTCCTGTAATCAGTGAATCCCTATTTTTAACTACTCTGGGACAGAAATCAAGGGTTCACATCTGCAGGCTGATTTTGCAAAAGTCAACAGGCAACCATTTGATGTGATCTATGATGTAGTTTGTATGTTGATGTGCTAGTAATCTGCACCATGGTTTAGACAAAGAATGATCAATGTCTCCAATGATGCTGGCATCTGCCTAGATCCAAGAGTGGTCACTGTGTGCTACATCATTAATGTACATTGTTATATTTTCTCTCTTGCAACAATATTAGAATAGGAAGTGGAGATGGAAACAGCTCTTGCTGCAGATACAAACTATTGAGCTTGCTGCTCAGATCCAAAGGCATGTAAGAAAATTCCACATATGTAGCCAGATTTCCTACACAAATTGCATGTCCCTTGTACACTATCACAAGGAACTTTTAAAGTTCCTGAATTTTAGACATTGTTTTAAAAGTTGGTAGAAGATTTGAGAAAAGTCACTCTCACTATGCGTGTATCAGCCCTGCAGATCAATGTGTTCTACAAAGTTGCAGGTTTTCTTTTGTAGAACTAACATTAATGGAGAGTAGGATAAGTTGCAAGTTGCAAATGTGCGATGAGTGGAACACACAGAACAGCAAATATTCAAAGCCTGAGCTCACAAAGTGTGAGTGTACAACTGAACAGAATGAGTGAGAGACCCTTATTTCCTTTTGCTAAAATCATTACACGGCTTTAAGGCACAATCCTGTGATTTTTCTAGACAGTAAACATCCTACAGTTCCCAGCAGCAGTTGCCTGGTGGCACAGATTCTGGACATTGTACAACTCTTTTATGTCTAAACTCCTACAGACTGCACCTTTTCTCAGCCTCAAAATCCCCTCTTCAATTAAGGGCCCTTCTTATATGAGAGCTGTGAGGACTATCAACGCTTGGCATGCCCCATGGCTGAGGCCTATCTTGGGCACATGTTAATTCCATGTCCTCCAACCCAATGCTCTGAACCACCCAGAAGGCTGAGTATAATATTCTTTTTAATTCCTCACAATGCTACTGACATATTAGGTAGTACCCAGTGTTAGTTCTAGTTGAAGTAGGCCTATTGAAATGAATTGTACTTACACTCACCATGACAGTCCCATTCATTTCCCCATGTGCACTTTAAGTAGGGTTGACTTTGGATTCTACACATTGTCATATTTGGTTAATTCGGGGGGAAATTAAAATCGTGGCCCTCAGTTATCCAGCACTGCTGCCGTGGACCACTAACAGTGACACATAAGTTTATTTATTTATTTAAAACATTTCTATGCCGCCCCCATCGCAACCAAGTTTTTCAGAGTATACTTTCTCCAAGGCCCTGCAACCCTGGATCTGACCCTCAACTTCCTCAGTTCCGCTGCACGAGAGAGCTAACCCAGGGCTGACGCCACTTTGTATTTTCACTCTCGAGAGGGCGGAGGTCTCACCCTGGCGTGAGGAGAGTTACTATCTGAAGCAAATATATCAACAAGCATGTTTATTTGCATCAGTCGAACAGTTCCCCGCCCGCGGCTTTATTCACTGATTGCTCTGCATCCGCAAAGAACTGCTGGCAGGACAGCATCAACTTTCTTTCAACTGAATTTGTATGTGTTGCAGTAGGAAAGTAGCAACCCCTCCTACTCGCTCCCTTTCCTCCCGAGAGGGGGGAATCAACCCCAGCCTCTGCTCCTCCTCCCAGGTCCAAACCTTGCTGCTTCGGAGCGGCTCTTCTACACACATACTGGAGGGAGCCGAGTGCAACCAGTTGAGCTCCATCCTCCCGTCGCGGTCCTCCGAGGGCGGCGACCATGAAGCTGCACAGGAGAGGGTCCGCTCTTCTCCTTTTCTTCCTGCTCACCCTGCAGGCTGAGGCGACGCTGGTGCGAAGCTACCTTTACGATAACCGCTATGCGGGGTACGTGTTCTGCTCGCCTTACTTGCATCTCGCTTGCAGCTTTCTCTTAGGGTTCTGCGTGGATTTCTTCGTGGCTCCTTACCTTGTGGCTCAACTTTGTGGGCTAAGAGATGCGCGTGTGTCTGTCTGCTCACTTAACCTCGCTCACATTCTCCTTTCTAGTGAAAATTTTCTTTCCAAACCATTGAGCTGTAAGTTCTGGATGATGGCGGGGGCGCGGGGGAGGGGATCGCGCCTGTGAGAGCGTATTGATGACCCAAATTGTGGGTGTTAATTTCTATTACGATCAGTGAATTACCATGAACGTTGCAACGAACAGTTGCAAGTCTAGGCTCTAAACCCGTAAGCCGCGGCTGTATGTACTGTTGAAGTCAATGCTTTCTTATTTTACAAGACAATCCTATGCATGTTTGCTTAGACTTAAGTGTTGTGTGGGGCTTATTTTCACATAAATGGTTCACTCAAAAGTAAGGTCTGTTCCTTTCTTTGTGGGACAAATTGTGGCAAGTTTGGGCACTGATTAATATGTAAAGGAACTGAACTGTTAATGCTTTTTCTTTATGGCACCTTGTTTCTTGTGCATGCTTTTATTGGCTGCCCTGGGGAGTAAATCCACTATAAATCCAGAACAAGAAAAAAATGGGAGGTACTTCTGACAACAAGGAAGGGGTTAAACCATAGCCATGTCTTGGAATGACATGGAACGCTTCTAGTGGTGCTTCTAGACAGAGTGCTATTAGTGCTATTACTCAGAATGAATTGTGCAGCTATTCCATTTTTTCCTCCTTAATGAATGTTCTGTAGCAAACAAAAAGATGGAAGAAGCTGTGGGGTGGGGGGAACAGGCAGAATGCAGATGGAAAATATAATTCTGTGAATGAGACTGGAAGATTGAACTATCAAAGCTACATCTGGAAGCACCCCAAGAGGAAACAAGGGCCTGAGTTGGCATGATGGTGGCAAGAGGAAAATACAAGGCAAATAAAGTCCCCTGAGATGAAAGGGCAGATCCAAGGCATGCTCATTGCTAAGCAGAAAGATGATAGACTGCCATTCTGGAACCAAATTAACGGTGAACAAGAGTGTTCTTTCCAATTTTGAGGGCTGTCATTGCACTGCTGTAGTAGTCTAGACATTTCTTGAAACCTCTGGCAGCTTCCATGTGGTTCCATTTACTCCAAATTGATGCTTTTTTAGGGGGTTCCCTTTCCAATCATGTATCAAGTTTATCTCTACCACCCAAGTATATCTATTTTTGCCATTTTACATGTCCATATCTCACCACATTGGCATTTTCCATAGAGCCATCCAGAGTAGTCCTCAAAAGGACCTGAACGAAGAGAGGAAAAAAGCTGAAGTGAGACTTGTGTTTCTGTGTAAGTGTATAAACTGTTAGTACATAACTATGTTTAAAATAGGAACACATATTGATAGCAGAAGTCTAAGGAAGAGGGTTTTACTGTATTTTTAATGGGTCTTGGATTGTTATTCATTTACAAAGTAAACCAGCCAAAATGTACTTAAACTGGTCTAAGGCACAATTGTATGCATGTTTACATAGAAAAAAATGGCTGGCAATTCCCAGCCTGCTCAGGCCCACATGTAGGCCTTTTTTTTTTTTTTTTTTTTTGTCTAAACTTGTGTAGAATTGCATCTCTGATCCAATCTGAAGCAGTTCATAAATAAGACAAACTTTGCCATACAGTAAACTACTAATTTCCACAGTTATTTCCATCTTTTTTCCACTATTGTCATAGCATTTCTAGAGCAGGATCTATTGTGGAAAGCAAGGCTTAGTGATAGAACATGTATTACACAGAAAGTTCAGTCCCCACATGTCCCAGATTAAAAGGATCATGTACCTAGAATATCTGCCTGAGGTCCTGATGAGCTGCTATTAGTCACAACAAAATCAACAAACAATCTTATGGCACCTTAAAGTCTTACAGATTTGTAATAGTATGTTCTTGTGGGCTGCAGTCTACTTCTTCAGATGCATGAAATGTTATCCTGAGTTATACATCCTCGAGTCATCTCAGAATTATAGCAATTATGTGAATAAAAACTCTCCAAATTGTCCATGCCATGACAGCCCTGTTCAGCACTTGTAAATCTCAGGCTGTGGCTTCCTGTATGGAGCCAATCCATCTCAGGTAGGGGTGGGGACTGTAATCAGTGAGGTCAGACAGCAACAAAACACAAGAAGTGCAGACCATGACCTGGTTTGCACACAATGAGACACTACCATAAGTTAATTTCACCATGGGGATTCTCACTATGATGGCAGCAACCATTCTGAATATTTAAATTGCACAGGGAGGAGGGGTGAATCACATTTATTTTTATTTATTTTATTTATTTCGATTTATATCCTGCCTTTTTCCTAGAAAGGGCTCAAGGCAGCTTACATCTCTTCCTCCATCTTATCCCCACAACAACAACCCTGTGAGGTAGGTTGAGCTGAGAGTCTGTGACTGGCCCAAGGTCACCCAGTTGGCTCCATGGCTGAGCGGGGACTAGAACCCAGGACGCCTGAGTCCCAGTCCCATGCTCTTAACCACTACACCACACTGGCTCTCATAGAATCATAGTTTGTCATTACATGTGAACTCAGTGAGGATGAACTGTTGGCATGGTTAAGAAGCTGCCAAGAAAGCACCCCAGCAACCCACTTTCTCCAGAATCACCCACATGTGCCTACCCAGCCTTTGAGGTTTATACAGGGGGCACTCCTGTGTGAGCCATCCCATAGGGAGGTGAGAGGGATGGCTGCTAGGAGAAGGTCCTTTTCTGAAGCTGCTCCCTAAATCTGGAATGGTCTCCCCATGGAGATTTGCCTGGCGCCTTCCTTATATTCTTTTCAGCTCCAGGCGAAGACGTTTCTTTAAAAAAAATTAATTAATGCCACTTGACATTTTTGTCTGTATTTTATTGACATTGTATTTTAATATGTTGTAGTTGGTCTTTATTGTGCTTTATCTTGTGACTGTAAACTGCCCAGGAGTGCTGTGGCACAACTGGGCAGCATACAAATGTTTTAAATAAATAAATGTAACAAAGCCATAGCATGTTCCCCTGAAGCTTGAAGCTTTAAAATGGCAGCTGCTAAAACAAGAAGCTTCATGGAGAAATTCACACATGGTGAAGTTTCATTACATGCAAAACAGGCTACTGACAACCACCATGTTAACATTGGCCATTCACAAGCATCCTTCCATTGCCTTCAAAAAGACTTTATCGTAATTCAAACCACAGGAGATGAACCTCTTGAACTGTAATTTAGCCATTTCTCCTTCTAATTTCCCTTTGAAGTTTTTTGACTAAGAATGTCCAATTTAAAGTTCAGTGGCAGAGTGGCCTTACAGGATACATGAATCTTTTGATCTGCTATAAAGCATATTCCTCTGTTTTTAAATTAACTAAGTAAAGAAAAGCAATATACCTTTTAAAGTTGCTTATATTATCTTGATGTATAAATTCTTTCAGAACACCCCATTCATATTACAATTATGCTCACTATATCATACAGCCTTTTTTGTTGAAATAGAAGACAGAAAAGCATCTTTCCAGAATGACCTTGGAATGCAATAAAGTGATCCTAAATTTGAAAGCCTGTTGAACACAGTTTGACTTTGGCCTTTGGAGTTGTGGTACTTACTCCTTTTTACAGCAAAATATGTAGGACTATTTTTCCTCATTTTAATTCTGCTTAGTGGAAAAAACCCAGAAGTGAAGGTGAGGTACAACACTATCCAAGTGAAATAACATTTATAGAAATAGCATGCCTTGTAGGCCAATGGAAATAAAGCAATATCTTTTTAAGTAAAAGTGTTCTGTGCAAAATTCATTCAAACAGCTATAAAAGGTTCAAGATAAGCAGACAGAAATAAAAACTGTCATGCAGTTTTCATTTTTATTGAAGCAGTAATGCCAGACCTGTGAATGCTGTGCACAAAAAATTCAACCATTCATTCATGTTTAAAGAACATTCCAAATGCTTTAGAAGGAGAAAGGACATTGAATTGGTAATATGATATTTCACCTCTAGGTCAGTAGCAGTGACAGAGCACTTAACACATGACAGCTGCTCTGTGGCCTGAGTCCAGTGCCTAGTTGCAGGTATCCTTCTAGTAAAAAACCCCCACAATTTTGACCCTTCCTAGTGATGTCAAGAGAGGCCAAGAACTTAACGAGCATGAAGAGAAAGTTGTTTAGGCTTGTTAATATGAGCACTGGAACAGAGTTCAATGTACAGAAACTGTGGGAGTTCTAGGACTTCAGCTAATGAAGGAAAAAAATTGGGAGATAACTTTGGACAGTAGCAGTTCTCCATAGTGTGAACCTAGTGCTCTTCAGGAAAAAATAATACTTTTTATTTTATTGCTTTTACAATTTAGTGAAGACTATTTAAAGCTGGTCATCTATGTTTTGGGGATGGGATGGGATGATAAAAGTTGGGAGGTGATCCTTTTCTCATGTTCCTCCTGACCATCGATGTTGACTGAAGGACATAAGATTTTTCAGATTTGGAGTCCAACCCCTTTTTCCTATTGCTTCTTGATTGATGCAGAAAGAACCACATTGGCTGCCCCCTGGGGCTGACAAGCAACTTTGGAGAGGGGTAAAGGTAACATTTCAGTGGGCAGAAAGGCAAGGGATCTGGGGAAAGCAAGATAGCATCTTGAAGCTGTTTCTGCTTCATTTCTTCCCAATCAGAGGTGCTCCACCTAGATTAGGAAAATGTTCACCTACAGAATACAGGGTGGAAGAGTGGGGAGGTCACTATCACCTACACCGCTCACCTACCCTATATTTGAAGGCCATGAACCTCCAAGTTCAGAGTCTCATAGGCATTGCCATATGAGTGCACCCCTCAAGTGCAATCCAGTGTATGTTTAGACAGAAAATAGTATCTGGGAGTTATAAGACTTTTTTCTGTCTATACATGCCATAGGCATGCCATACATGCCTTTTAGAAATCAGTCCATTTTAAAAGCTTG